CGAAGATTCCTCACTCAGCATTAATTACTCTGGAAAGTCATCCAGGCTGCTGTGAGCATTACCTAACCTTTTAAAAAAAAAAATTAGGTGAGTAGTATTCCATGGCAAGGATGTACCAACCCTTATTCAGCATTTCACCTATTGAAGGCTAGTTTCTAGCTACTGTGAAGGAAGCTCCTATCAACATTTGTATACAGCTTTTTATGTGAACATAAGTCTTCATTTCTCTGAGATAAATGCCCAGGAGTGCAATTGCTGGGTGGTATAGTGTTGCACGCTTAGCTGTTTAAGAAACTATCAAACTATTTAAAAAAAACACATAATGAATAAGTGATATTTACCAGTCAATTAAACAACCAATAATAAGCATATATGGAAATTTTACTAAGTGTTCAGCACCAGGCGAGGTGTTACACAGGACACAGCAGACGAACAAGGAGCACAGAAAATGAGATGGCTCTGTTAAGAGTGGGCTATTCAATGTTGTTAAAAAAAAAAAGAGCGGGCTATTCAATCAAGCCACTGTCACGAAACGCCAGGGGCCGGGCAATCTTGGCGTTTCCAGATAATAAGGACCAATTTTCTTCATTTTTTAAAATGGTACGGCCCAACCAGACATTCTTGATATGTTTTAATATTAAGATTTCTTTTGTCAGATAATATGCAGAGTGTTAAAAGAGGAGTGTTTAATGGTCTGTAGAAAAAAAAAACACCTTTTGAAGTAGACCACTAGTATGGCTAAGAAGAGGGGGAAGAATGTTCTCGAAGGAGGAAGAGTCTATGCAAAGCTGTGTGACAGCAGGGAACAGGGCGGGTCCAAAGCCCGGGAAGGAAGCCAGCCAGGGGGAAGTAAGGGGGCGAGGGCTGAGACGAGGCTGGACAGACAGGTGAGAAGCCCGGGTAGACCGTTTGTCGGAGATTTATGATCTTCCCCAAAGTAACGGGAAGTCAGTTACTAAGGGGATTTAGCCCAGAGTGTGATGGGGACACTGGAATGGCTTGGTCAGATTTGCATTTGTAAAAGACCCCTCCCGCTGGGCAACGGGCTGGAGGTGATGCTGGGGGCAGCAGCATTGCTACAAAATCTTAGTTTTGTTTCCTTAGGAACCAAGGGAAAGTTGAAGGGATTCAAGTGAAAAATAAGAGCCCAAACAATCAAATAATTGCCACCTAACCGTGTAGCGGGTCACTGGACTCTAGAGAATGGAGGCAACAACAACCTGGTGCTTCATACAGCACTGGCATTGACTACATGTCTGACTTGGGGCCAGTTACTCAATGTTCTCGTCTTGTTTGGCCATTTATAGGAAGACTTAACCATATTTTCCCTTCTCTGGATTTGTGAGGAGTAAATAAAATAAGCATGAATTTTGCAGGCAAAGGATGAGAGAAGGCATTCTAGAGGGTTGAGACAGGAAGGTTAGTCTCGGGGGCAGGATGATGGGTGTGTTTGGGTAATCGTGAGGCGTTCTGAGTGGCTTGCGCTGTACGACTGCATGTCCCACGGCAGGCGGGATGTAAGGGGCGTGGGAGGAGGGTAAGAGACCAGCCTTGGGAGGTTGTGCACCAGAGGTGAGACTGAGAGGGGCTTTGCAGGCTGTGGGAGGTCAGCAGAGAGTTTTTAGAAGGGGGACGAGGTAGGAAAAGCTGTTCTCGAGAAAGAGGACTTGGGCGGTGGTGTGGAGGATGAGTTGACGGGGAGGGGAAGACGGGAGCAGAGAGAGCAATGAGCATGCTTAGTGTCTGGGCTTGAGTGATGAGGGCTTGAGGCCAGGGATGAAGGGACGTCTGGAGCAGGTGGCATTTCTGAAGTAGCGTCTGGAGACGGACTGGACGTGGGAAGTACAGGAGCAGGGAGCAGGGCACCCTAGGTTTTCAGCCAGGGGAACACGTGGGTAATGATGTCACTGAAGCCATGGTGGGAGAAGGAACAGATTTGAAGGGGACTTTATTAAGCAAGTCCTGTGGGCTTGTTCTCGTAATTAAAATGAAGATATCTATAGGTTATGAAAGCTGACATGGCAATCATGGTGGATTGAATAATGGCCCACCCTCACATGCCTACATCCTAATCTCTGGAACTGTGAACATGGTACCCTACCTGGCAAAAGCATATGCAAATGCGATTAAGTTAAGGATCTTGGGATGG